CCCGCTCGCCTCCTCAGCCCCCTCCAGCTCGCCTACTCATCCCCCGCTACCCGCTCACCTCCTCAGCCCCCCCTCCCCTGCCACCAGCTCACTTGCCTGACCTCTTACCTTCTGCCGCTGCCCCCACCTCCTGTCGCTGGCTACCCTCACTCTCCAGCCTGCCACTGGCCCCTTCACCACCCCGCCCACCCGCCGGCCAGCAAAACCGGCTGTTGGCTTGCCTACTCACCCTCCGCGGGCCACACAGTGAGCCCACCTACTCACCCCCCCCTCGTGGGCCGCACAATGAGCCCACCTACTCACCCGCCGCAGGCCTGGTCTAGATGATACTTAGTCCTGTCACAAGTGCAGGGGACTGGACTAGAAGACCTCTTGAGGTCCCTTCCAGTTCTATCATTCTATGATCTGTCAGGGGGAGCTGTGATTGGTGCTGCTATGGGGCCTGGTGTGTGGGATTGGGGGCCACGCTGCATCAGGTTAGGATAACCACTGTGGGGACACTGCCATGGTTGCGTGGCTGGTGGAGGCACCATGGTTGCTCTAGGCCAGGGGTTCCTGCCGTAGTCTTAGGGTAAGTATGGACCCCAGAGCAGAGCGAAGGGGCTGGGATGGAACATGTGAGTCCGGCGGTGAGTGAGAGGACGGGGGGAACTCGATGCCTTGGATGCTCGTGGTGCGCGCATGGGGGAGCCGGGTGTAGCTGAGAGGACAGCACAGGGGCGGCTCGGGTGTGGGTGGGGGGTTGGGCGCGTTCCAATTAGAAATGGTAAATCAGGAAAACAGTGACACATGGAAGCTGCTGTAATTCACGGTTCGTTTTTCACACTTAACAGTGCTAATTAAAGCAGAGAAAAGTGAGACTGAGAATGATTTATGCCTCTAAAAATAACCCAGTAGCATGTGAATGGCCTCGGGGGGGGGGGGGCATACACACAGGCAGGGCAGCATCCCCCCAGCCAGGGAATTGTGATGGCTTCTTGGGTTGCAACTTTGAGGTCACCTCACTCCCCCTCTTCTGCTGCCATGCTGAGACTGGAGGGGGAAGGAGAAGAAATTAACCCTTTGTCCTCCAGTGCCTGTGGCATGAACTCCCCTTCTTCCAGAGGGCCGTCCAGGTGGCTCGGGCGGGGCCCACGTGGCGCAGATAGACCAGAGCAGCTCCCGCCCCGAGCGCTGGCCGGGGGAGTTCAGCCTTTCTCCGGAGGGGAAGGCGGCTCTGAGCAGGCTGCAGCAGCGCTTGGTGGCATGTGTCAGGATGCTGCTCTGTCCTGAGAGGAGCTGGGTGCTGGGTTCTGCCCAGCCTTCCTTTCATCCCCTTCCCTGGGCTGCTGGCTCAGTGGCCTGTCTGAAAGGAGCCGGCAGGGCTCAGCCGTTATCAGTAGTGATCAGCCTCCCCCCAGAGCTGGGCTGGGGGAGTGGGGCAGTGGGTGGGGGAGTTCACCCTGCACCTGCCTCTGCTGCATCTGGTCTTGGTAAACTGCAGTTTCTGCTTTCCGGCGCCATCAGGCTAGCACTGAATTGACTCGGCGCCCATGCGAGGAGCCTGCCGGGGCAAGCTGCTGGGGCGTGGAAGGAGCTGGGTCTCTGGAGAGCTGAGCGATGCTGAACTAGCCCAGGGACCACTGCTTCTGGGGAGAGGTGAAGGGCAAGCGGTTGCCAGCACAGGGCAGCAGCCAATCACATGCCCTAAGAGGGGGGCAAGGATCTCGCCGGCTGAACACCTGGCTGCTGACTTCAGGGTTATTGGGGGATGAGTTTCCTGATAAAAATGGCCCCCCAGCCCTATTCCCAGACATGTCTATCCTGTGGGGAGGACTCAGCCAGCCCCATTGCCATGGGGGGGCTGGTGCAGGAGGGGAGTTATTGTGGGTATTTAGGGTGTGCTAAGCACTGATCAGCTATAAGTAAACTCATCCCCTGCCCAGGGGAGTGTCTAAGCCACTCACCCCGCAACATGCTGGGCGGCCTCCAGCACCCCAGAGCCTGTGGAGGGAGCGGCTGAGCATTTTGAATAACAAACTGCATCTGTGCGTGAGCAGTTCTCCACCAGCGAGGGGCACAGGAGGGTCTGTAGATTATTGACTCCCACAATCTGCCCAGTGTGGTGACCCTACCTCAGCAGAGTCTCAGTGCACCTGAGCCAGTGGGATCCTACAGCATCCTCACCCCTGCCGGCCTTCCCGGATCCAAACCCAAAGGCATCATGCTTGGCTTTCCCTGTGCAACCCCAGCTGTCCCTCGAACCCCACAAGCCAGCCCAGTCCTCCTCCCAGGAGTCAAGACAGTGACATTCCCAGGAGAGAGACAGCTCATGCTGGTTGCTAAGCAACACCCTGTCAGGGATGCTGGAGCAGAGAGGAGGCTACTCGCCCTTGATGAATGGTGCACAAGGACTGTGTGATCAGGGAGTTGCCCCTCCATGATGAGTCTCCATCTCTGAGCTGTGCTGGCCACACCCAGCGGGGTGTTTGTGTGGGGATGTGGGCTTAGGGGGCTCAGGAACAAGGCCCTTAGGGCATCCAGAGTACGTTCTTAGTGACATCAGTATGAACGGACTTCAGCCACGTGTGCAAGGCACATGCCAGTGACACGATGCAGTTTGCTGAGCTGGGTGTGGCCCTGAATGGCGTGCTGGTGGGCTAGCTGTACAGACACAGTGAGAGGCAGCAGGCCGTCCCTGCCCCCCAGACAAGACAGGATTGCCCCAGCTTAGCCAAGAAGCTGCACTGCTTTGCCCAAAGTCACACAGGAGATCTGGAGTCAGCTGCTGGCTCTGACTCCCAGCCCAGTGCCTTGCTCCCTCTCTCAGGTCAACATTGCTTCTGACGATCCAGGGGCCAGCCAGGTGGGAGGGGCCAGCTGGGGATAGGAGTTGCTGGGGGTCCCTGCTTTGACCTCTCAGAATGGACCGTGAAGATGAGCCAGGCCCAGGCAAGCCCTTGGAGTTTGAAGCCACGATTTGCAGTGCCCAGCTTGGCTCTAAGCAAAGGGTCACTCTGACCAGGACGCTGCAGACTGGGACTGGCCCTGGGAGCTTATTGTGCTCTGTGTTCTGTACTAGCAAGACAAAGGGGTTTCCTGGCCTCGGAGCTGCTGCATGCTTGAATCTGGCCGCCAGGAAACCCAGTGCTTAGACCCTGCCTGGGTGTGTTTTGTGTCCACAGAATTCCCCCTTCCCAGGGCAGTGGGCTCCAGAAGCCTATGGTATTTTTTAAAGAGGTGCCGAGCGCACGCATGCAGGCCCTCCCCCCCCACGATCCGCTAGAGCGAGCTGCGAGCACTCAGCACCTCTGGAAACACATTTGTGAGTTTCTAGCTCTTACGGGCGCAAGGAAAACCTTCCAACCAAGAGTACCTGGCGCAGTGCTGCCCTCCTCAGTCTGGAGCCTGAGAGCCAATTTCTCAGACAGCAGCACAGTGCCCCATTCATCCCACGCCGGCATTAACACTGAAACCTAATAACGGTGACCCAAATGGCAGCCTGTTCCCTATTTCACAGCTGATAGCTTTTTAGCAGAAGCATCCAGCTGATGTGCTTATCCCACCATTGCAAATTGCCTTCCCCATGCTCAACTATCCCCTCCCCCACTACCCACTACCTGAGAGTTATGCATCGTCAATCCAAAAATCTGCAAGGAGAAAAAAAGCCAGGGGTGACATTTGATGTGGAATAGCACAGGAGCCCCTGCACTGACTTCAGTAGCCACATCAATATTCCAGTCTGCAAAATCCTCCATTTAAAAGCAATGGACCTAATGTGACCCTGCAGCCTTTCAGCCCGGCCAAGATACGGAATGTTGATTGTATGCCAACAAAAGCCACAGTGCGAGAGAGCTAGACTGCCCAGCACGGGCTCACGTGGATTGGTAGCTAATGTGCATTTCTCTGGGTTTCTCTCCAGGAGGATTTCCTTCAAGGGCTCCCTGTCCGAGGCCCAGGTGCGGGAGAGCAGCCAGGAGCTCCTGAAGGGCTACCTGAGTGACATCATGGAGTCCATCATCGGCTCAGTGGAGAAGTGTCCCGCTATCATGAGGGTGGCCTTCAAGCAGCTGCACAAGAGGGTAGAGGAGCAGTTTCCAGAGGCAGAGCATGAGGTCAGGCAGTGGCACAGGGTGAAAACTGAAACAAAAAAGTCATTTAGCACTTCTGCCATTTCCATATTTTCTATTATAGTTCCCCTTCCCCACCCTCATTGAGTAACGGGTCTGTCCTGTCCTTGCTCTTCCTCTTGCTTCTAATGTATTTGTAGAATGTTCTCTTGTTACCTTTTATGTCTCTAGCTAGTTTGATCTCGTTTTGTGCCTTGGCCTTTCTAATTTTGTCTCTACATACCTGTGTTATTTGTTATAGTCATCATTTGTAATTTGACCACGTTTCCACTTTGTATAGGACTCTTTTTTTGATTTTTAGATTATTGAAGATCTCCTGGTTAAGCCAGGGTGCTCTCTTGCCATACTTCCTATCTTTCCTATGCAGTGGGATAGTTTGTTCTTGTGCCCTTAATAATGCCTCTTTGAAAAACGGACAACTCTCTTGAAATGTTTTTCCCCCTTAGACTTGCTTCCCATGGGATCTTACCTACCAACTCCCTGAGTTTGCTAAAGACTGCCTTCTTGAAATCCATTGTCTTTCTCATGCTGTATTCCCTCCGACCATTCCTTAGGGCATGTCTACACTGGCAGAGTTACAGCACTGGGAGTTACAGCACCGCTCAGAGAGCGCTGAAGGGAAACCGCTGTTGTGTGTTCACACTGTCAGTTGCCTGCGCAATAGCGTGTTCACACTTGCGGCACTTGCAGTGGTATTCGGAGCGGTGCACTCTGGGTAGCTATCCACAGAGCACCTCTTTCTCTTCTGCCGCTAAGAGTTATGGGAACATGGAGGGGGGTCGTGGGGCATCCTGGGTCCTGTCCCAATGCCCTGTGATGCATTGCTTCACATCCCAGCAATCCCTATGCTTCCGTCTGCATATGGCGCCATCTTTCAACGGTTTGTGTACTGCGCGTCCTGCCTCTTCGGGCTGCAGGAATGGATCCTGCATTGTTGACAAATATGCTGCTCGCTCTGACTAACACGTGGCAGTGGCAGTGGAGTTATTCCTTAAACTACAAAGGCAAGAGGAGTGCGACATTGATCTCACCACACATAATAGCTACGACACTAGATTGCTTGTGACATTCACGGAGGTGCTGACCACAATGGAACGCTGCTTTTGAGCTCTGGAGACAAGCACTGAGTGGTGGGATCACATCGTCATGCACGTTGGGATGACGAGCAGTGGCTGCAGAACTTTCGCATGAGGAAAGCCGTATTCATGGAACTGTGTGATGAGCTCGCCCCAGCCCTGTGGCGCAAGGACATGAGAATGAGAGCTGCCCTGTCGTTGGAGAAATGCGTGGCGATTGCACTGTGGAAGCTGGCTACTCCAGACTGCTACTGATAGGTCGCTAACCAGTTCGGAGTGGGAAAGTTGACCATTGGACTCGTGTTGATGGAAGTGTGCAGGGCCATTAATCACATCTTGCTTTGAAAAATTGTGACTCTGGGCAACCTGTGTGACATTATGGATGGCTTTGTATTGTGGATGGCTTCCCTAACTGCGGAGGGGCGATAGATGGCACACATATTCCAATTCTGGCACCAGACCACCTAGCCACTGAGTACATTAATCAGAAGAGGTATTTCTCTATGGTTCTCCAGGTGCTTGTGGATCACCGTAGGTGTTTCATGGACATTAACACAGGCTGGTCCAGAAAGGTGCATGATGCCCGCATCTTTCAGAACACTGGCCTGTTCAGGAAGCTGCAAGCTGGGTCTTCCCTGACCAGAAGATCACTGTAGGGGAAGTCGAAATGCCCATTGTGATCCTGGGAGACCTGCCTACCTCTTAATGCTGTGGCTTATGAAGCCATAAGGAGCGGTTCAACAACAGGCTGAGCAAGTGTAGAATGACTGTTGAGTGTGCTTTTGGCCATTGGCGCTGCCTATATGGGAGGCTGGACCTGGCCGATGACAATATTCCTATGCGTTCTGTACGCTCCATAATATTTGTGAAGGGGAAGGGTGAAAGCTTCACTCAGGGCTAGACTGCTGAGGCTCAGTGCCTGGAGGCTGAGTTTGAACAGCCAGAGACCAGGGCTATTAGAGGGGCGCAGTGCGGGGCCATAAGGATCAGGGATGCCTTGAGGAACCAATTTGAAGCTGAAAGCCACTAATACTTGTTGCTATGCTCGCGAGTGCAGTGCTTGTAATGCTAGGAGGTGATTGTGATTGGTGTAGATGATGCACTATGAAGGTTTAAGAAAATTGCCTGTTGTTTTGCAGGGCTCTGTTTGCTTTCAATTAGTGGAATAAAGATTGCTTTCACACCAACACAATTCTTTTATTAAAAAACAACACCAGAGGAGAGAAACAAACAAAAAAAATCACATCTGCATTGTGGGAGATGGGGAAGGGAAGGTCCCAGGAGGAGGTGGGGTTCCAGGACAGTTAAAGATTTGTAAAAATAATGAGGAGTACTTGTGGCACCTTTGAGATTAACACATTTATTTAAGCATAAGCTTTCATGGGCTAAAACCCACTTCATCGGATGCATGCAGTGGAAAATACAGTAGGAAGATATATATACACAGAGAACATGAAAA